ATTTTTTTTTTTTATAAAGAAGGAAGAAAATATTTTGGATTTTGATTTGAAATTATTTTTTCTTTTTTTTTCGAATGAAAGACTTTATAAAAAAATGAAAATATTTTTGCATTTAGTTTTTTTTTTTGGATTTTCTAAGTAAAGAATTCTAAAGATGGAATTAAGGAAAGGGAAAAATATTTTTGAATTTTGTTTTTTGAAAATTGGGGCCGGAATTGATGAGGTTTGCCTAAAAAATGGCTTCTCTCTTTTGTTTTCAAACTTTTGGGAGAGTTTCAGAATTTTTCAAATAACTACCTTTCACTCTTGTTTTATTTTTTAAATTTATTTTCTTTCCCTATTCTAGAAAACGGTCAGCATGCAAACCGAAACAAACATATGCACAAATAGCACGTAAAATGCATCAAGATGGTCCAATATATTGGGTACACCTGTCCTAGACGGACCCAACCCCTATGTTGAGTCCCCAAAGTCAAATACACGTGATGCAAATAAACTTTCCTACTAGGGGACCGGCATGAGGCTATGTTATTCTAGGTTTAGATCCTAGGTGTGTTGTTCTAGATCTGGCTTACCCGAACAAACAACTCGAGCCGGGGGGGTAGCATACCGGGAATACAGAAGCTTCACCGGCTTTGCAACTTGTCCGAACTTCGTTCTAAAATTAGGGTATGACTCTAACAGAAAAGAAGCCACGCTAAGCGCACGCTTCCCAAAAGATTTAGAAGACTCAGAGAGAAGAGGGTTTCGTAACAGTTTATATACAGTTCAAGCAATATCAAAGCGGTAAAAAGCGGCATTTAGAACATTAGGCTCAAACACGTAAAAATCAGATAATAAATAAAAGCCAAGTATAACAGCTATTCTAAGCTTGAATTTTGAACCCTGAACCAGAGATTCTGAGTTCTTATTCCCCAGCAGAGTCGCCAGAGCTGTCACACCTTTTTTTTCCGAGGGGGTAGGGAGTTTTTTCAATTTAAGTGACATTATTCGAAATGGGATTATTTATTTATTCAGAGTCGCCACTTGGAATAATTTATGGTGTCCCAAGTCACCGATTTATTTTAAAATCCCAAATCAAGGAAATTGACTCTATTTATGGTTTGCGAATACAGAAGATCGGGTAAGGAATTCTGTTAACCCGGGAGAAGGTGTGAGGAACTCCCGAGTTCTGTGGTTTTAGCACAGTCGATTAACAATTAATACTTGGCCTAATTATCTGATTTTTATTTTTTATTTTTTTTTACTTTTTAAGTATCTAATTTATTACCTATTTTAAACTTATTATGCATTTTTACCTTTGACCGCTTTTAATTATGTATTTAAATCGATTTTTAGTATTTATGGAGTTATTTCTTGAACAAGTTACGATGTCGTACACTTGTCGGTTGGTACACATTGCAAACCGCGCCACGTGAAACGCACCCGCGATTTACAATATGTTTATTAATATTATTTGAAGTTATGGTCAAGTCGCGTGAAACGCACACTCGAATTGAGATTTAAGTATCGTGACCATGCCACGGGAACCGTACCCATAGCCACGATAATTTATTAATCATGCCTAAAGCAAGCTACGAAGTTTTTGAATTATTTGTCTTAAACTAATTTGAGATTTGTAAAGCCATAAGAGTATGTCATTGTAGAAAAGCATGAAATAGATTAAATTAATTATTCAAAAACTACAAAAGGGGGCCATTGTAGGAGATTAATGGGCCTAGCAGATTTCAAGTTTTGGCCCAAAAATAAAATAACTTTCTTCATTAGCTTATAGTAACCTCACAACTCCACTTCATTCAACAACTTTAAACTTGTTTAACAACTTAACTCTATACTTTAGAACATTGACAGCTTAATTTAAAACAAAGATGGAACTACTAAAGCTCATTTATTAACACATGAATGACTAAATAATCAAATAGAGACATAACATTGCTTGAGCTTCCATTTCAATAAGATTTTTTTTTTTTTTTATAAACAATCACAACTCACTTATCAATTAGCAAATTTTATTAAACCATTCATGGATGAACCTTTTTTTAAGAGAACAGACTAATAAACTAAATTAAATATACAAAGAGGAAGCTCAAAAATTGGCATGTTTAACATAGAATAATTTCATTCATTTAAGATATAAATGAATCTCAAAGAACACCAAAAAAAAAAAAGCAACTCATATCATTAATCAAAACAAGATAAGAAGTGCGCCTCAAAAGTTGAATCTGAAACTTTATGGTTTTACAACTTTGAATCTTAAACTCATTCAGACCTCACGCAAGACCTCAAATAGAGCATCGAAACTCGCCGACGACCTCAACTAAAAACCTCACTGTTTCGTCTGGGTTTGGATGGTAGTTATAGTATTAAAAGGGCTGTTCTATGAAGGTTTAAATGTTATTTTTGGGTGGTGAAGTTGCTGATTTTTTTGAAAGAAAGACGAAGAAAGAATGACACAAGTAGAAATTCTCTTATCCTAAAAGAAGAAAATAAATTTCTCTCAATTCCCTCCTCCCTCTTTTTTCTTTCTCTCTCCCTTTTTTCATCACATTTCTCTTCTATTTCTTTTTCGGAATTTTCAGATTTTTATTTTTTATTTTTATTTATTAAAAAAAATCAGATACCCTTACTTTTATTTTTTAATTCCAACTTTATTTTACTTTTCATTTTTTAAATTTCCACATTCTTTTACTTTTATTTTTTTAATTTTTCACTTTCTTTTACTTTTTTTATTAAACAATTTCTACTTACTTTTACTTTTACTTTTAAATTTTATATTTCTACTTTTTCTATTTTTTAATTCCCATCCGAAATTTGTTTTTTTTTTTTTAAATTAAATTTTATTTATTTTTTATTTTTAATTCATTTTATTTAAAAATAAAGANGAAAATATTTACATAATAGAAGGTGATAAAAATTCAAATATAGTCAAAAATTAGGTGCTCACAAGTCAATACTACTAAAACAAGTAAATTGAAAACATAAATATAACATAATTTCAAAATTCAAAAAAAATAGTTTAACATATGTTAAATTCCAACATAATAAAAATAAGTTCCAATACAATTTAAGATCGGGAAACATAATAAGTTTTATAACCTCAATCAATAACAAAATTCTACTTTAATGACATCACTCATTATATGTCAAGTTTGTTAATGATTCATTATTTCTAATATTAGGTGTAGTTTAAAAAATTAGAATAATAACGCAGTTATGCTAAATGAAGAAAATAAATAAATAAATAAATAAATAATAAAATATATGAGCAATTACATGGAATCACAAGTAAAGGTAGAGAAATAAAAGATAGAATAATGTACAAAGAAAAATATATTTTAAAATTTAAAAAAAAAATTAAAAAGTAAAAATAAAATAAAAAGAGATTAACATAAGGGAAATAAAATGTTATAAAGAAAATAAATCAAAATAGAAAAAAAAGGAAAGAAATTAAAAAGTAACTTTGTCATTATTACTACCAATTCTTACTCCCCATAATTAGAGATTGCAATTACACATTTTCAATCACACCTAATTCAATGTTAATCAAGTAATTATTCTGTCAAACAAAATGTCAAACAGTGTAATTACATTCAAATTCAATTCTTACTGATTTTCCAAACAAGCTCTTAAAGTTTGTGACGGAGCGATAAGTCCTCTGTTAATCTAAGATTTTGAGTACAGGTCATGATATGGAATTGTCTTTAGCAGGAATCATTTATCCAAAAGTAAAATTTAATGAGCGTGAATCTCGATTAGTCAAGTCCCACAATGGATACATACGTGACAATGGGTGGGAAAAAAAGATACTCCCTCCACGTGAATATTTTTTGACCGAGAACGAAATTTAATTAAAAAATTAAGATTTTTGGAATTTATGGTCCTAGACAAGTTAAAAAAAGATACATAATATTTATATAATTATAAAAGTTTCTCATTAAGGATAGAATTATAATTTAAATTAAATTGTTATTAAAATTAAAAAGGGATCATTCTTTTTTGAGAACGAACCAACAACAAAATTGATTCACATAAATCTAAGAGGATAGTATAATTTTAGATCACTCCAGCCGAAAAATCTGCGTTAGCAAACATGTCACAGCAGTAAAGAGTCAAAGCGGAAATGTGACTTTTGAAATTCTGCCTTCTGAAATTATGAATTCAGTTATTAATATATATAGCCCAAAATTGAGAATGACATAAAATGTCACTGTTCATAAACTTACATTAATTTGTACAACCTGAATTTGGCACATTATGTTGCTACATGGAGATCGGAGAAGAGAGGAAGGATCCGGCAGGGTGGGCAGAGTTCGGAAAATCTATTATACTCAATTTTACTTTGTATTTCTGCAAAAGATTATGCACTAAGCTCCCTTTATACGCGAGATTCAAGAAAAGCCTGACCACAAGGGTGTATTGTACGCAACTTTACTTTATATTTATACAAGAGGTTATCGCCACGGTTCAAACCCGTAACTTTCCAGGTCATGAGTTATTGTAAGGCAACACCCGAAGAGACGGGAAGAGAGGAAAAAAGAGGTTAAGTTTATATGAAGTTCTAGTCTAGGAAATGAATTTACAGAATCTTGAATCAATTTACTGGATAAAAGGGACGCAGTAAATTGAAAGAAAAAAAAAACATGAACAAGGAGGAAAGATAGAAGAATTAAGTGGATAAACATACAGATGGAAATTAAGCTAATTTGAACTAGAATACTCAGACAAGAGTTCATCCAATAAATCAGTTCCCAAATCTTCAAATATGAATACAATATTATCTTCCTTATTTACTTGTTTCCTTTTCCCTTTCTTTCTTGAAACAGTAGTTCTCTTCTTGTGTTTCTCCTTTAAGGCTGCTGCTGGTGACAATCCATTTTTCAAGAAATTACATTCTGATTCTTGTAACATTTTCCTAACTCTTTCAACAGGGAAATTTAGACAAGTTGATGGACCTCTCATTGACAAAGCAACTTGGTCATAAGCCATTGCTGCTTCTTCTGCACTATTGAAAGTCCCAAGCCAAACCCTAATTCCATTTCTTGTTGAATCCCTAATTTCTGCTGCAAATTTTCCCCATGGCCTTGTTCTAACACCTATGTAGTGTTTTTCGGCCTTTTGGGGTCGTTTTGGACTGAAGTCATTTTGCTTTTCCTTCGAGGAAGTTTCACTCGAGGAAGTATCTTCGAGTGATGATAATTCAACTTCAACTTCCTCAGCTACAAAAATATTTGAAGCTTGTTTTTCGTCTTGAATCTTCAAATCCATTTCTTTTTTAAGAGCTTTATGCTATTCTTTGATCTCTTTCTTGTTGATATTTACAAGATGTATTAAAGAATATGAGTGGAGATACTATATATATGTGTCTCCATGATTACCAGCCTAAAAGGGAAGTGTGCATTTGCAAACTTAATTAAAGAAACATAATGTTATAATGGGAGAGGCAATTATTGGATTAAACAAGAGAGCAAGTTGGGGGAATATTATTTGACAAGTTGGGACGATGCAATGGCAAAAGTACAATTAGATTAGATTGAGGAGCTTTTGGGGGTATGTTGTCCACAAGCAAGACCATGAAAAAGATTTGCAATTGGTCCATTTTATTAAACGAAATAAAATATATTCGCAATGCACCTCTCCTTTTATAGTTCAACAGTTTAACCTCACAAAAAAATAAAATTGAAAATAATATATAGTGTATCTAGTTTGACAAGTGATTTTGACTTTTATGCTGGTATGAAAAAAACATATATATAACCGATAATTACACATGAAAGTCAAAATAGTATTGAAATGTTCGTGAAAAATAAAGTAATTCATTCATCTGAATGGCACTTCATAAGCACCGGAGGCGTAGGCACAAAATTTAATATTATGTTAAAGATTGGTATTTTTTAGGTAGAAAAGAAACAAGAAAGAGACTTTTCACCAAACTTTAGCAAAATNATATATATAAAATGTTTGAAATTGTCTTATCATATTTTTCATATGGAGTTTGTACATATATATATTATATGTTTGAAATTGTCTTATCATATTTTTCATATGGAGTTTGTACATCGATCAACATGTCTATCAAAAACCAGCTGTGGTGCCATTGCCATTACATGAAGTGACTCTTCATGTCCCCCATTTTCATTTTCCCCCTAATTATATTTATATTATTTAGAAATGTGAACAGTTAAACACTTAAATATTTTGCTTAAGCTCCAAATACTAACACTATGGTTCACTAGAAGATTCAATGCTGAAAAACAAATATGTATTGAAATTCATTAAAATTGCAAGAAATAGTAAATATAAACGTAAAGTTTTAAAAATATAATGAATTTGTTGCTAAATTGTGATGACCCAAAATGTCATCTTTAAATTTAATAAGTAATTATGTATTTTAAGACCTCGAAAGCACCATTTATCATTTCTCGACTTGCGTGCACAGTCCGTAAAATTTTCCGAAAAGTTTTCATGTGAAAAATAATTAAAATGTGAAATATAGCTTTAAAACTCAACTAAGTTGACTTTGGTCAACATTTTGAGCAAACAGACCCGGATCAATATTTTGACAATTTTGATAGGTCCGTATCGTGATTTGGGAATAGGGCGTATTCCCGAAATCGAATTCCGAGGTCTCTAACCCGAGATATAGAATTTTGATGAAAAATTAAAAGCTTGAAAGCTTAAGGAATTCTAAGAATTACTGATGTTGGATTTATTGACCTCGGGTCTGTATTTTGGTTCCGGAGCCCGGTATAGGTCCACTATAATATTTATGATGTGTTTGCCGAATTTGGTGAGAATCGGAGTTGATTTGACGTGATTTGGACGTCCGGTTGTAAAAATATAAGTTTTAAAGTTTACTTGAAAATTTCCTTTGATTTGGTGTCTGATTCGTAGTTCTAGGCGTTATTTTGGCGATTTGATCGCGCGAGCAAGTTCGTATGATGTTTTAGGACTTGTGTGCATGTTTGGTTTGGAGCCCCGAAGGCTCGGGTGAGTTTCGGATAGGCTACGGGATATTTTCAGACTTAGGAAATCTGGTTTTCTGCAGACTTCAGGCTTCTGGTATGTTCTTCTTCGCGTTCGCAAAGGTACTCTTGTGAACGCGAAGAGCAAATTGGGACTGGCACGTTTTGTGCTTCGCGTTCGCGACATAGCGACCGCGAAGGCTTGAGGTTCAAAGCTTCGCCTTCGCGATAGAAGCCCCGCGTTCGCGAAGGGAAAGAGACTGGCCAGGAAAATTAGCCTTCGCGTTCGCGAAGGCCAAGCAAGGCAAGCATCGCGTTCGCGAGGTAGCCCTCGCGTTCGCGAAGAGCAAAAATTGGACAACACAAATTGTGCTTCGCGTTCGCGAGAGTAACGTCGCGAACGCGAAGGTTAAAAATCTCACAAATAGAACTTAAGTTCTAGAAATGGGGTTTTGACCCATTTTCAATTCCTTCCCATTTTTGAGCTCGGGTAAGGCGATTTTTGGGCGATTTTTACGGGAAAACATTGGGGTAAGTATTCTTTATCATATATTGATTATATTTCATGATTTCATACTCATTTGTATCATGAATCTGTGAATTTATGGAAGAAACATCAGATTTTTATAAAATCTTCCAGAAACGAAAACGAAAATTTAAGATTTGAAGGTCCATTTAACATCGGAATTGGACAAATTTGGTATGGTTGAACTCGTATCGGAACGGGTGTTCGAATTTTGTGAGTTTTTTTGGATTTGAGATGTGGGTCCCTTTGCCAAATATTTTAATGAATTTCAAATTTTTTATCCGGAAAATTTGTAAATTCATATGGAATTAATTCCTATGATTCGTATTGAATGTATCGAATTGTTTGTGAATAGATTTGAAGCTTTCGGAGGCAAATTTAAAAGGAAAAGTTGTGGTTGAATAATTAATTAGAATTTGCAAAACGAGGTAAGTGTCGTGATTAACCTTGACTTAAGGGAATAGAACCCTTAAATTATTTATTATGTGAATTGCATGTGAACGACGTATAGACGAGGTGACGAGTGTCTATACGTCATTAAATTAATTGTTTGCCTGCATACTTGAAAAATTATAAATTATTTTTAATCATAAATTAATTATTATAATAATTATTTTTCTCTTATTCTTTGTCAAATATTAATTATTGAATTCCTGCATTAATTGTTACATGTTATTTGAATTATGTGCCTTAATTGTTATTTGACATTTAGCATATTAAATATTAAACTGTCTATTTGCTCCATGATTTCCATAATAATTTACTAATTGTCATTGTTTGCTTCATAATTAAATCATAATTATTGTATGCTTATTGTCTTATAATTTTATATTAATTGTTACATTTATTGGAAAAATTTCTTCTATAAGAATTTGTGAATGAATATGTTGGAGGAGCGGGTTGCACGCCGCAACAGGATTAATTATAATGAATATATTGGAGGATCGGGTTGCACGCCGCAACAGACTTATGAAAAGTCAATTTTGTGGATCGGGTTGCACGCCGTAACAGACTTATTAAAAGTCAATATTATGGATCGGGTTGCACACCGCAACAGACTTATTAAAAGTCAATATTGTAGATCGGGTTACACGCCGCAACAGACTTATTAAAATGTTAATATTGGAGGAACGGGTTGCACGCCATAACAGACTTATTAAAAGTCCATATTGGAGGATCTGGTTGCACGCCGCAAAAGATTTGATTAAAATGAATATATTGGAGGAGCGGTTTGCACGCCGCAACAGAATCGAATATGATTATATTGTGAGAGCGGGTTGCACGCTGCAACAGAATTGAATGTGAATATATTATGAGAGCAAGTTGCACGCTGCAACAGAATTGGTTGAAATAATAATGGATTATGACTGCTGAGTTGGCTTCAATTATTATAAATGAGTTACCTGATTTATTTCTATTATTTGTTGTTGTTATCAATATTGCGTAGAGGTTAATGTAAGTGAACCGCCTTAGCCTCGTCACTACTTCGTCGAGGTTAGGCTTAGCACTTACCAGTACATGGGGTCGATTGTACTGATACTACACTCTGCACTTCTTGTGCAGATTTTGGAGTTGGTCCCAACGGCGTACCATAGACTTGCTCGGATTTCAGCTATTCAGAGGAGACTTGAGGTATAACGGCATGGCGTCCGCAGTCCTGAAGTCCCAGTTTATTTTACTTTGGCTGTGTATTTATTTTCAGATAGCTTTATTTTATTTAGACCCTTATTTTTATTTATTCTAGAAGCTCGTGCACTTGTGACACTCTGGGATGGTATTTAGACACCATTGTTTTTATGGATTATTCACTATATTTCAAACTTGATTCTCCATTTGTTCTTGGATTATTAATAAATTTAAAAATTGGTTAATATTATTCTAACGTTGGCTTGCCTAGCAAGTGAAATGTTAGGCGCCATCACGGTCCGAAGGTGGGAATTTTGGGTCGTGACAGTTGGTATCAGAGCACTAGGTTACATAGGTCTCACGAGTCACGAGCAAACTTAGTATATTCTGAAGGATCGGTACGGAGATGTCTGTACTTATCTCTCAGAGGCTATGAAGTTTAGGAACAATATCACTTATTTCTTATTCTGTCGTGCGATTTTATTCTATCAACGATTATTGAACCATTTTACTCTTATTCTCTCGCAAATGGTGAGAACACGTAATACCTCTACCAATGTACAGGGACCAGAACCCCCGGTGGCAACTATGGCTAGGGGTAGAGATCGAGGGTGAGGTCGTGCTAGAGGCCGAGGTAGAGCTCAGCCCAGAGCTCGAGCAGCTGCACCTGTTGAAGAACCTCAGGTGGACCTTCAGGAGGAGGTTCTAATTCAGAATGTACCAGTTGGACCCGTTCAGGTCCCGGAAGGATTCATAGCCACTCCAGTACTTCAGGACGCTCTAGTCCATTTCTAAGTCTTATGGAGGGCGTGGCCCATAATGGTACATTTCCAGTGGCACCAGCCGTCTCACAAGCTAGGGGAGGAACACAAACTTCCACTACTCCTGCTCCGGAGCAGATGGCTCCCTAGAATCAGGCTCCAGCAGCCCCGCCAGTTGGGGTAGTTCAGCCAGTTGTTGCGGCACAGACCGGTGATAAGCCCGCCATGTCTTTTAAGACTTATTGAGACTGGATAAGTTCACTAAGCTCTTTCCAATTCACTTCAGTGGTACACCTTCTGAGGACCCATAGGATTATCTTGAATGCTGCCACGAGATGTTGCGGAACATGGGTATAGTTGAGACCAATGGGGTCGATTTTGCTATATTTCAGATGACGGGTTCCGCCAAGAGGTGGTGGAGAGATTATACATTGACCCGATCAGTCGGATCGCCTGCACTTACCTGCGAGCAGATCTCTCAGCTATTTCTGGAAAAGTTCCTCCCTATTACACTGAGAGAGGAATTTCGCAAACAATTTGACCATCTATAGTAGGGTAGTATGACTGTTACTCAGTAT